GCACACCTAAATTGAACAAAGACACTTTTTTCATGTCAAGATGAGTTGCAACCAGAGGCATCCTTTAAAAACCTTCAGCTCTTGTGAGGCTTTAGAGCACTTTACTCTACAAAATATGTAAAGAGATTTTGATTTGCAAATTTGTGAAGCCTACTTTATTATGGGGCATTTTGCTGTTCTGTCAGTTTACTGTTTATGTCATTCTGCTGTCCTGCCAGACAAGATCAGCTATGGTAGATTTTCTCACATATGAACACAAAAAAGCACAAAATTAGACCTGATGTCATAAAAAGTAGCTGGTACTTGGAAGAGGCTACTTGAGTTATTATAGATTTGTAAAACCACACTAAAAACGAAGTCTGAAAAGAACATTTTTCTGAAACAACAATACAAACTACACTTCAGAATAAAATTAAATAAATAATAATAATGCACAAAATTGTGTAATATTTTTTTAGAAACTTCTCATTACAGAGATGCACATCACCTAATATGCTTAATTGGTAGTAGGCTTTTGAGCCTATACAGCTTGGAGTAAGACAACATGCATGAAGAGGATGATGTGGACAAAATACTCATTTGCCTAATAATTCTGCACTCCCTGTAGTCTAGCAGCTGCAGCATCCATGTTATCTAAGTTGTCCCATTTCAGATTTTGATTTATTTGACCACAGAACAGTGTCCCACTTAGCTTCAGTCCATCTGAAGTTAACTTTGGTCCAGAGAAGACAGCAGCTCTTCTGACAGAGTTTTAACTTACATTTGTGTAAGGCATGGAGAACCGTGTTCACAAACAGTGATTTCCGTAACAGCATCATAACTGTTTTAAATGCACAAAGCCTGAGGGCTGAAGATCACTGGCATCCAGCAGTGATTTTTGGCTTTTGCTGTTTTGACCCTTCTGCTTTCTTCTACTGCTACTGTGGGGATTTGGTTGTGAACTGTGTCAAACATACAGCACCATCAGACTGCATCTCCATAGCTCAGTCAAATAACTTTCAAATAAATGTCTTTACTGCTTGTTTTATCTGCACACCTAAATTGAACAAAGACACTTTTTTCATGTCAAGATGAGTTGCAACCAGAGGCATCCTTTAAAAACCTTCAGCTCTTGTGAGGCTTTAGAGCACTTTACTCTACAAAATATGTAAAGAGATTTTGATTTGCAAATTTGTGAAGCCTACTTTATTATGGGGCATTTTGCTGTTCTGTCAGTTTACTGTTTATGTCATTCTGCTGTCCTGCCAGACAAGATCAGCTATGGTAGATTTTCTCACATATGAACACAAAAAAGCACAAAATTAGACCTGATGTCATAAAAAGTAGCTGGTACTTGGAAGAGGCTACTTGAGTTATTATAGATTTGTAAAACCACACTAAAAACGAAGTCTGAAAAGAACATTTTTCTGAAACAACAATACAAACTACACTTCAGAATAAAATTAAATAAATAATAATAATGCACAAAATTGTGTAATATTTTTTTAGAAAGGAAATTCCCCACCTAATGATGCGTTGGTGCATTTAGTCACTGAGACTGTGAACTAGCTGCCTTATTCATATTGTAATCCAGGTTCTGGACATCTTAAATCTTGCCCTGACAATGATCCTCAATATAATTTTTAGTAAATCTGTTTTGAAATCTTACTGAAAGAAAGCAAATCAAAAAAAGAAAGAAAAGAAAATAGGGGAAAAATAGTAAATACAAAACTCTAATAACTGTGGTGTATTTCTTCTGTTTCCACAAAAATAAACTCTCAGATGTCGTCCTCCTATCATGCCTGTCAAATCCAGGCTAATGAGGTGCTTTATAATCTTACAGACTATGCACACAAAAGTGTTGTAAGAGATTTGCATACTCATTGATGCCTTAAGTTAAATTCAATGAGTCATGCCTCTGCTGAGTCGCCAGACAAGTATAGGGCCTACGCCTCACTAACTGCAGACAGCTCACCACCATTAGGCAGATAAGGTGAAAAGAAAGACGTCACGTGTCATTCTGTTACATTTGCATGACTCAGAATTATCTGTTTATCCCACACAGTCACGTGCAGTTTGCCCAACATTTTTCCTTGTTGGTACAGTCAGTGGAAATAACATAAATAAAAAGGCATGATTATCAAACAGAACAATCAAAGCAGACACCAGCATGTACCAGTGTGTTCCATTGGTATGTCACGTGTGCTTGGCTGCATGTTTCAGTTTTCTTCTGCAAATGTTTGTGATTCCAACACAGACTGGATAACAGAAGAATTTCATTTGCCACGAGTCATTTGCAGGTCAAGCTATTCACTATAATTAAGTGATAAATTAACTGACATCTAATACATAAATTAACATAAGAAGCTTTTTCTTCAGCATTTTCTCATACAGCTTGGACCGTTTAGTTAGTTGTGTTTGTGTTAAAAGGTGGAGAGAACATTCATATTTGCAGATCCCCTTACACGATCTTTGCTCCTCTTGTGCTAAAGAGAACTCACCAGTTCAGTGTTGACGTGGATTGGCTCGTGAAAGATTGTCCACACGACTGCTTCGTTGCAAGCAGGCGTTGTCAGGGAACCCATGTATTGGTAGAACTTTGTCAAATTTACATTTCCAATTAAGTCATCAATAGAGATGCTATGGTCTAAACGAACCTTGCTCCCTGTGGAAAGATTAGAATGAAAGAGACTTGAATTTAAAAGGATAAATAAATGTAATCATAAAGTGGTTTGCATTTTATATTCACTTCAGTGCATGTTCACAAAAGTCAAGAGGCACGGTTTGTCAGCTACTGTCTCACCCTCTTCTGCTTCATGACTTTACAAACTTTTATCGTTTGACTTCAAAAATAATTCCACATACAGACAAAGAAGTCAAACACAAATTTCCTTTAACTATTGTTATAACTACAACAACAATGGCAGGCCATTCTTCTAATCTTTCAATATTCTTTTTTTTTTTTTAAACAAAGCCATTGGAACTCTAGTGGAAGAAAAGACCAACCCTTGTCGGTGAGGTTTGCCAGGTATGACGTAAAGTTCACCCATGGCTCTGACTCCTGTGGACTTCAACTCTACATTATGTATGAACGTAATTATGTTAATATTTAAAAGCCATCAATGTAAACCAGTTTTATAAGTGTCGCCTATTTAAAAATAGCAGCGTGAAGTCTGGGGCATACAGACTTCATAAAAAACCCAAGTACAGCATATCCATCTGGATGCTCTGGAGGGGCAGTGAGATGATCCTTCTGAGTGACTATGTGCATCTGGAAGAAAGTCCAACAACTTATAAGGCAAAGCAAAATATAGAAAAGGAGTTTAGATGTCAAGTAATGAAGAAACATTGTACCTCCGTTGGATATCTGTGCTCATAAATCATGTGCTCTGAGCCTGGATTTTTTACATCACCCCAGTGAAAGTGAAACTGAAGTCCTGTATATGTTCCACTGAGTCCACCTCCACTCACTTTAACTTCATTTCCTTTCAATGTGCACTCCACTACAAATGGTATAGATTGTTGTAACTTGGAAAACGTTGTATGTTTATGCAGTTTTAGTTAGATTATAAAGAACATAAACATATTTAATTTTGACAGAGGTGGCTTTGAAGTCTTTCTTGAGTTCGCTATTACTCAGTGTATCAATAACAAAAAAAATAAATCCTTCCACTTTAGATTTGAGATTTTAGGAAGGGGAAGCATCTCAGTATTGTTCTCAGTGGAAATTTAGTTTATTCTATAAAGATTAAGATTTAAAATGAGCATCAAAAAGCCCTAAAATGATCACTTGGATGGGATTTGTGATCCTCATTCTTTTACAAAACTCCATGAAGAAGCTGTCAAGATCAGACAACTGTTCATTACTGTACTCAGGGTTAAAAGTTTGACAAAGCATCCTACCTTCACTCTTCCAGTCTCAAAGTTCCAAGTCTTATGAAGTGATGTGTTGGTTTCAAGTCTCAGATTAAAAACTTTTGTCCGCTTTCAATGAGTCCATCAGTGAGAGAGGGGTAAGAAACTGCTGCAGTACACTTCAAGATACTTATCTATATTTATCAATATATATATAATATGCTAAACAATGGGAGGACACCCCCGTGTATAAACAAAGAGCAGTATAGGGGAGACACACAACATGGTTGAAGACACTTTTTCAGAATGTGGTATTCAAAATAGACGCATCAATAGGGGTGTACCAGTTATCTGGTTAAGTCAGTATGTTTAACTATATTCATTCTACTCCAATGCATCACGTAGGTGCTTATGTGTATATGAAATCATATATTTGATCCCAGAGGATGGAATAATTAAAGAAATGGACGAAACAAGACAAAACCCCAAAACAGTGCATACTGCAACAAAATGTATTCATTCCAATTGCAATACATTTTTTCTAAAGCACAGCACAAACAAATCTTGTTATGTACAAGAATTTTCAGATGCTCAGCTTACAAAATGTTTCATAGGAAATAGAGCTGTTGGTCGGGTTTCTTTTTACAATCCAGAAAAACCACCCTTAGTTTCTATGACTTCTAGATGAGACAAAGGTGAAAATATAAGAAAGTTCTTATTCAAAACGATTTGGTGCAGTGACAGGTCCCTCACTTTGTTTTTTGTATAGAGTTCATCATTTGTACTATCATTTTTTTAATCACTGAGTTGGACAACCAAACCCCATATACAGTGTTCGGGTCAAACAAAGCTGATGGTATGAGTATGAGCTTCATATTCAGATGACATTTTTGAAATTGATATCACTCCTGTATTTCCTGTGACACTATTTAAAACATTCCATTGGAAAGTTGTAGGGCCCTCAGGAACAAATTAAAGTCACTGACATGGAGATTTAACCTATCCATTCACGTGACACATCAATCAAAAATAATGATACTGAGATAAAAACAAAAAACAATACCACTAAATCTCTATTATTGAAAAGGGAAATGAAAAACGTATTCCAAAGTGCAAACTTTATATTTTAAAGGAAAAAAAACATTGAAAGATTTATCCTACCAACAGGTGCCTATTAGCATTCAATACAACCCCAATCATGTGACCATCCACAAACTATTATCGAATAAAATAAAACTATTATACACAAAACATTGACAAATGTTAAGATCAGCAAATAAATTAAGACATGATTCCTACAAACCGCAGTATTTACACTAGTCAGCCAAAAGTGGTGACAAATTTATTAAAAACCAATTGTCAAATTTCATTCATATGTCAATTTATTACAAAATATTGATAGGTAAAGGTACAGAGATTTACAATTTGTTATCACACAGACCTGTTACCTGGTCATGTTTAATGTCAACCACTGTGTATACACACATCACTTTGGTAAGTGAATCTACACAAAAAGGGTTTCTGTCCTTCATGTCCTCACACACTCATCCCTATGCTTTGTTAGGCCCAGTTCTCTTTGTGTTTATGCAGAACGGAAATACAGCAAACACACAACACCTTTTTCCAAAACATTAAAGATGATGGCGAGGTATGGAGTAAACTGACACAGTGACAATGATTGTTTATTAAGACAAATGATTGTGCGGATCAGTGAAAGACTTGATCTTGACATGACAATGTTCATGATTTTTACAATTTGTTGGTTGTTATTTTTCTTATTTTCTTTGTCAATTCACTGACAAATGAACAAAGATTTTTTAAGTAGTTGGGAAGCACAGAAAGATCGCACCTGACCTTACTAATTTACATAAAAATACATTATATTATTTAATCATCTGATGTTTACTTCTGAGTACAGTAGATCAATTTTTCCTGTTTACTTTGGTTCATTTGTCACAATAAGTACTGCCTCTTAGTCTGTGGCAGTATGTCGACAAAACAAGCACAGTTGTTTTGGTTTGATCTTAAAGACAACAAACCGCTAACAAAAAAGACATGGATCACAGAGTCCCTGTTTGATTGACACATTTGCATGTTTACTTGTTGGAAAATATTTTTAAAATGTTGGTATCAAGTTTGAACTTTGATTTGGACCATTTTTCCTTTTTGATAATCTGTTTTTTATACCTTTATGTGTGTTATGTAAGACTAAGTGCCTGAATTACCTATTGAGAAATATAAGTCATGACATCTGACATTTGCACCGGTGCTTTACTGGCTTCCGGGTTTTATTGTTTACAAAATCTTTAACTCACAACTTCCGTTTCTGAACCCAATTTATTGTGAACCATTTAGAGACTGTAACAGTTAAATCGCAGAAGCTAAAGGATACAGATGATGCAAAAAGCAACCATGCTAAACACATTTTTATTAAAAGAACTAAATGTTTTATTGGATAATGGCAAAACAGTTCTTTTTACAGTGTTTTGCATTAAATTGTACTCTAACAGGAAGCAAGCACGAGAACTCAAAAAGGACACAACATGAGAAATTGCAATTTGTCATAATGTTCATGGTCCTTTTTTCCTCTAGTGCAGTCACACATATTCCTATCAAGTATATAAAGCATGATATATGGAATTATGTTGCAAAGAAAAAAATACAACTCTAAATATGCCTTTATTTTAGATTCCTGAAAGCAGCCACCCTTTTCTTTGTTGATAGCGCTGCAAACCGTTGGCATTCTCTTAATGAGCTTCATGATGAAGTCACCTGAAATGGTCTGACTTCACAGCTGTGCCTTGTCAGGCTTCATTTGGGGAAATTCTTGCCTTCTTGATGAGATTGGGACCATCAGTTGTGTTGCGCAGGAGTCAGATTGGTACAAAGCTGACAGCTCTATTGGACAACTGTTAGAATTCAAATTATGGCAGGAAACAATCAGCTAAGTAAAGACAAACAACAGTTCATCATTGCTTTAACAACTGAAGGTCAGTCAGTCAAGAAAACTTTGAATGTATCCCCAAGTGTAATTGTAAAATCAATCAAGTGCTACGACGAAATTGGCTCACATGAGAAACGGCCCGTGAAAGGAAGACCAAGAGTCCTCTATGCTGCTGAGTATACATTCATTCAAGTCACCAGCCTCAGAAATTGCAAGTTAACAGCACCTCAGGTTAGAGCCAAGATAAATACCACACAGAGTTCCAGTAGCAGACAAATCTCTACATCTACTGTTCAGAGCAGACTGTGCGAATCAAACAGCTGCTGAGAAATCACTTCTAAGGAAAAGCAACAGGCAGATGAGATTTGTTTGGGCCAAGTAACACAAGGAATGGACATTTGACCATTGGAAATCTGTGCTTTGGTCTGATGAGTCCAAATTTGAGCTCTTTGGTCCCACTCCCATAGAGTGAAGGCAAAAGGGCCAACAAGTGCTCAGCATCTCTGGGAACTCCTTCAAGACTGTTGGAACACCATTTCAGGTGACGACCTCATGAAGCTCATCGAGAGAATGCCAGGAATATGCAAAGCAGTGATCAAAGCAAATCATGGCTGTTTAGAAGAACCTAAAACATAAAACATGTTTTGAGTTATTTCACATTTCTTGGTTTACTTCATGATTCCATGTGTTCCTTTATAGTTTTGATGCCTTCAGTGACAATCTACAATATAAATAGTCATGAATATAAAGAAAAACCATTAAATGAGAAGGTGTGTCCAAATGTTTGACTGGTAATGTATATATTATATATCTTTTTTGTCTGCATGATTCATGACAAGCTCCTATATGTCTGTGTGCATGTGTGCGTGTCTGTGTGTGTTCCATTAACACCATGCACAAACTGTGTCTCTAGATCCAGCTGGATTTCTGAAACCAGAACAGTTATTTTTGTTTTTCAATTTGATATGTAATTGTGAAGCTAAATGTTAAATTGTGCCCTTTCTCACAATAAAAAAGAATAATTTCCCAAATTCCTAAACCTACAGTTAGAAAAACTCCAAAACCTTACAATCACATAATGTTTTTGGCATAAGTAAAAAGATGACTTTATCAAATTTTGGGACTTTGGTAGAAATAATAAAAAGACAAAAAAAAAAAGTGGGGGGAAAGAGTGAAAGAAGAAATCATGTGTGGAAAAATTGTGCACACTGACTTTTTTCTGTTCTTCTTACAACAAAGAATTAAGTATCATTTAAATCATAAATAAGTCTTTGCTTTTGTTTGCAAAATTCATAAAAAGCTTGTGTGGGATGTGGTGAAGTCTGGTGAGCAGTTCCACATTAAAGCAAACGGACATAATTCCCAGGGAGCTCAGAGCAGAGAGGCAACAGTCCTGCAGAAACAAAAGGAAAACTATGTTTAAAGGCAGCAGTACAACACTAATGAATCTAAAAATATCTCTGTGTTTTTAAATGTGAATAGTCTTACTGAAAAAGGGATCCAGTCAGCTCATCAACAAAACCACCTACAAAATTTAAGTCAAACCAAAGTTAATGAAATCTGTGAACACACAACAGTACACCCACAGAATCACAACTAGCACTTACCCGGTGTGCAAACTGTGTCACAAAGAATGGGACAAATGTAGCAGGTTGAGCAACCCTGGAAAACAAAACAAACAAAACCGATTAACGCAAAGAGGCACAGGGCAAAATGAAGTGCTGTGTATTATTACAGCAGTTATAATCCTTTTTAAGTCAAGATGCTTACTTGGCAGTGCTCGCAGTGATCAGACACATCTCCTTCTTCACACGGGCACTTGGCACAGTTAGTAGAGCAATGCTACAAGATGGGAAGAAACCACAACGTAGAGTGATTAGTCGTGCATATGGTATATAGTCAGGGCAAATCGACAACACAGGACTTATAATGATGTGTGATTACTGGGTAGATTCACAAAAAAGTCTGTTAATTCCATTACATGTTTTTGTTTGTTTTTTTTACCTCACAAATGGAGCAAACACTACACAACGATCCAGAGTGGAACTGTGGAGTGTCAGCAGCTCCCTTCTCTTCATCTGAGTCACCTTGGTTGTCCTTTGTGTCTTTACCTTCAGACTCATCTGTAAATGGTTCACAGAATCAGGAACTGTATTCTAATCATTTCAATTCAGTTTTATTTATACGTCCAAATCACAACAACAGTTGCCCAATGGTGCTTTATATTGTAAGGACCAGGGAAAACCCCAATAATCAGATGACCCTCTGTGAGCAAGTGCTTTGGTGACAGTGGACTGGAAAAAACTACCAGGAAGAAAATTGAGAGGTAGATATAGTGATCGGTTGGGAGTGAGCGGAGGAAGACAGGACAAGACACGCTGTGGAATAGAGCCAACTGTATCTTGTAGAACATTAAATTGTCTAAATAAATATATGATTATAACCCTATATGTCTTGAAAATATTTTGCAGGAAATTCTTGCAAATTCATCCAAAATAAAATACAATTATATAAGTTTTACATAAGTATTCACAACCTTTGTTCAATACTAACACCTTTTGCAACAATTACTACAATAACTGCCAGTTCCTGCTACCAAAACCATCCCCACTGTCTGACACTACCACCGCCATGCTTCACTGTGATGGTATTGGCCAGGTGATGAGCAATGCCTAGTTTCCTCCAGACATTCCTCCAGACATGCTGTTTTCATCAGACCAGAAAATGTTGTTTCTCCTGGCCTGCAGGGACCTTTGAACAAGTGAAAGACTGTGAATGCGTTCCTGGTTCACTGTATCAAAACCTAAGTATTCACATGGGTTTCCAAATTGTTGTGTTGGTGCTAATGATTTCAATTCATTTGGGAGTAATTTACCACTTCATTCATCACTTTTTCAGCCTTTTTGTAGTTAACCGCTGAGAGTACAGTGACTTTGGGCCTTTTGAGCCTCTGTACTAACACACAATCCAAAAAGACCTTTTCTAGTGAGTACTGATTACTGCCATTTATTTACAAGTTACGTGTCTAATGTTTAATTCTACTTGATGCAATATTATGGCACAGATGGTCTCTTTTTTTGTATTATATTTTTGTCATAACATCATGTCGTTAGATTTGTATTTTTGATTGTCATTTATGCTTAGAAATATCTACTCATATATGCTTAGAGTGTTATAATCAATGTCATGTTGGTAGAGCTTTGATCCTTAATAGTCTGCAAAGGCTTGGTGTGCATTCCAGAGTGTTCAGGCATTCACACCCACATCCTGGGAGCATGGGAGAGGGCATACCTTCCCTTATTGTTTTATGGTAGGATAAACGTAGCTATGTCAGTTTTAGTCTAAGTACCTTTTGTTTAGATGAACTGCCAGACATCCAGACCGGCAGGTCTGGAAGTCATTTATGGGGTCACACACTGACTCCACACACATACACATACACAATGCACAGGCAAGGTACTCTTTGTGTGTATGTATACGTCATATGTTAATGAACCTATGTATATTCATGTAACCTCAATAAAAGAGCAATGTTACGGGGGAGCGGACGAGACCGACTGGGGTCAAGCGAAGGAACGGCGCTTGTCGTGGTTCTCTCCCTCATATATGAGTAACACGAAGAACTTTGCCTACTTGGTGTTTAATGCTTTTTGCTGTGTAGTTGAATTGTCCTTAACATTCCAGCAAATAGGTTTATGCTACAAACCTATCACATGTGACATGTTTGTTTTTACAAAATAGTCTAAGTAGATTTATTGTAAACAAAGCAAAAATTCCTACAGGTGCTGTTTTTCCATAATATCATTTGTTGTCATTTTTTTCAAGCATGAAGCAATGACTGAAATTAAAAAAAAAAATCCCTTTATAACGCCCTCTTTTGGACAAATCTCAAAGTATTCAATGTTTGGTGCTTGTTTGAAGTCTCAAAAGCTACACTGGCCACTAGAAAATAGATGGTTTAGATACTGTTGCCTTCCTGCTGTTGCACAGATAATCCAGTCCATTTTAGGACTGATATGTATGACAGTGTTCCTAAAGTAACCCTAGTAAGCTGAACAATGTCAGAGAGCTACTGTAGAGTACAGAGTCACTCACGGGGTTCCAAAAAATCTCATTATTTGTTGTAACTTTAAATACTGCACCATTTAGTATCTTGCTAACCCATTAATATGTTTCAAAATGTGTGCATGTTTTTTTGTTAAAGTGTGATTCACCATCTTCATCTTCAGAGTCATCCTCATCTACATCCTCTCCTTGAGTTTCTTCATCGTCACCCTCTTGCCTTGCTTCCTTCTCATCGTCTTCCTCATTATTAGCTGGGACTTCCTCCTCCTCATCTGCATCTGCCTCCACCTCTTCCTCTTCATCCTCCTCTGCTGCATATTCTTCTTCAGATTCTACCTCTTCTGCATCATCCTCATCTGAAGCCTCACCTTCTTCATCCTCCTCTGCTTCATATTCTTCTTCATATTCTTCCTTTTCTGCATCATCCTCATCTGAAGCCTCACCTTCTTCATCCTCCTCTGCTTCATATTCTTCTTCATATTCTTCCTTTTCTGCATCATCCTCATCTGAAGCCTCACCTTCTTCATCCTCCTCTGCTTCATATTCTTCCTTTTCTGCATCACCCTCATCTGAAGCCTCACCTTCTTCTTCCTTCTCAACATCCCCATTCTCCTGAGAATTATCTTCTTCCTCATTATCAGCATTGTCATCTTCCTCCTCTGCTGTCTCCTTCTCATCCTCCTGTTCTTCTTCCACCTTTTCATCAGTCTCTACCTCATCATCATCATCATCTGAGTCTTCATCTTTTTCTTCATTCCCCTCACCAACCTCAGCCGTTTCACTTTCTTCAGCCTCCTTAGCATTTCTATCATGGAGGCTTTCCTCCAGTTCGTTCAAGTCTTGCGCACTTACAATAACAGAGAAAGGGACCTGGGATGAGCACAGCAGCACAAGCAGGAGACCTACCACCCAAAATTTTACAGGTGCCATCTTGGGAGAAATGCAGCTTTGGAATTTGAAGACTGTCTTATTCTTGTTACTCTATTCTTCCACCAAAAACCAAAACAGTTGATGGAAGACAAAAAGCTGCTAAGGCGCAGCAGATTTAGGCAGTGTTCAGGTCTTTTTCCCAGACTCCCGAGAGACGGTTTGAAAAGAAGTGTGCTCACAGAGAGCAGAGTGCCAGGCTTGTGCTGGGAACACAGAGGACACAGTGGAAACACGACTGTGTGTGGCTGTGTGTACTTGAGTGACAGAGGCACATGGCGAGGAAGAATGCTCCTGATGCCCTTAACACAGAGCATTAGAGAGGTGAGTGTATGCATTTGGTGGATGGGGGAGGGGGCTACTGAACTGCAGGAGGGGGGCAAAAATAAGATTTTTTTTTCTTATTAGAAATTACAACAATTAAATAATTTGAAGATAAAGTTATGGTTCTATACACAGCTTTTGTAGTCATAGCTCCCAAACTATTCAGGAAAGAAGCAGAACTTTGATAAATGTACTATGTGTGGGTTTTTTAGATTAATGGTTCGCACATTTTTGGAATATTCTTCTCAGTATCTGCTATTTACTTTAGTGTACACAGCAAAATTAATTTCTTCTTGCCACTGCTGAAGCAAATGAGAATACGTAAGGATCATGCAGACGTGCATGTACATGCAAGGAAATGGAGAGGAAAGCACTTTGAACATATGCTTACTTCCCAAAAATAGCATTTTTTTTAGGCTTCTTGTGTGTGTGTGTTTTTTTTTACTTTGGAGCCAGCAGGAGGAGAACAGTGTTATAAAGTCCACACTCACAGTGGCACAGTCAGCTACAATACTGCAGAGAGCAGCCAGGCTGAAAGCGATGACAGTGCCTCTCAGTGTGAGTTGCTCCTCCTCCGGTTATTGACAGGTGACGCAGCTATTTACAGTGAAGGCTCCTTCAATGGCTTGTTCCACTATGTGACCTTCAATGGAGCCATGGCAGACTGAAACTCAGCACCAGCATGCTTCTTTAACACTATCCATGATACTTATGTGCATAGTAGATCCAACTATTACAATCCCACATTGTGCACAGAATTAAAATGTATTTATTAATGACAAATGATAGGTTCTTTCATCAAGTTTACTAAAATGATCACATTCAAAAGTATTTTTATTATTATTCTTTATTCATTCAAATCTCATTGAGATTTAAATCTGTTTTTAAAGACACACCTGGCAAAGAGCGGAGACGAAGTTTCAGCAAATACACAAAGAAAAAGCCAATGCAGTCCAGTCCAGACAGGTGAACACAAAAAGCAAACATTATTACAAGAGTGGTAATAAAAGCAGTCAAACTGGCCGAAAGAGCTCACACTTCTCACACTTTTTAAAATGGACTTAAACTCCCCCATCATGAGTCTGATAATCAGTTGTGCAGTCTGAACTTCTTATGTAGATTACTGCAGCACAAAGGGGACAGGATATTTTAAAATGTCTATTCACAACTCCATTCTGACCCTGGAGACAAACATTTGTATAATATTGTGAAAGCGTAGACTGGTTGTGGTTTTTACATATACAGACACATGGCTTTTTTCTGGCTTTATTAGACAGGTGCAGTGAAGAGTTATAGGAAAGCAGAGTAAGGGGAAGACATGTGGCAAAGTGCTGCGGGTCAGATTTGATCCCAGGCCAGGTGCTCTCAGCCATATGGCATATGGTCACCTGCTCATCTCAGTGACCTAAACTGGTGCCCTCGACCAGACATTTTTAGATTAAAAAACAATTATATACAGAGATGGGGATATTCAGAAATGAGCACTTAGCAGCAGCATACAGAGAACAGTGATGTACATCATTTTCGCAACTAGTGATAAAACATAAAGCACAATAACAAACAGTATACAGCCTCTTTAGGTGCTGCCCTGGTATGTTTAAAAGGAGCAGATCACAGTAATGCAAAAAGGGAAGGAAAGGGAAAAGAAAATGAAACAAAGTAAGTTTAATGAGACTGAACAACATCTAAGACTGCCTCAAGAAATTCAAGTGTTTGTACTAATCAAGTAGATGAACAATAGATAACTGTGTCATCTGCATAAAACGAGAATTCGAAAGAAACCTAGATTTTACCCTTGGTTTCTTTTCTTACCTACAAGTTACCTACTACGTTATGAAACCAGACAGGCCTGACTGTCTGGAATGTATTTGCTCACTCTGCACTTTGATTTTGTGCCAAGAATTAGACAAGACAAGGAACCTTTTTTGTATAGTGCAGCCACGTGTAACAGGCATACATCATTCACTTCTAAGAATTTCTCTACAAGGACATAATAACTAGATAATGATCTAATAAAAAAATCTCTGAAATTATTTAAATAATCCAAATATCAATACTTTGGTCTCATTTGTCCAAAAGGCATACCACATGAATTGTGGCAGGCTTTTTTTAACCAAACTCTCAGCAACAAATTCCTTTGTTGTCATATTAAAAATAAATGTATTATACTGCATAAAAACTTGATTAAATAGAAAACAATAATGCAGACATAAAAATACGGCCCATATTTGCAGTGTAACGGAGCAAAAAAAAAGTATTAACGTGCTCTCAATATGACCCCTGATAGACAACATCACAGAAAATCCGACTACAATGTAAAAGATTTAGTAAGCACTTTTAAAACTAAAGCAGTGAAGATGACATGTTATCTGCTTACTTACTGCAATAACCCGAGTGAAAGCAGTGTGACTTTTTTAACATGCAGGCTGTTTTGTAAGCAAAACTGATTTCATAAGTTCTGGGAAGTACCTCGTAACACAGGCAGGGCACGAGGAGGTTTGACTGTACTTCCTTGTGCTAAAGTATCCACAACCCAGTTGAGGACAGTTGAGTATTGCTCCATCTGAGAAGAAAGAGCAGAATATCAGAATATCATAAAAGTCCAGAATAGAATAGTTATTCTTAAATCTAAATGAAAACCAAGTGAGAAAAGGATGACTTATTTTTTATTGATATCAATAATGAATAATGGCAGAGATATATGTGTTCAAGCTTTCTGTTCATTGCATGTCTTGTCTTTGTGTCTATAACAACACACAAAACAGATTGAAATAATCTGTTTAATTTCAGTATTTATATCAAATAAATATTATGTAGTCCCATTTGAGCATTAACATAAAGTACTATTTTAATAATTGAAAAGCTCAGAGAGTAAAAATGTTTTTGTGCTTAAAGGTGTTTTGTCTCCTACTGGAGAAAATCATCTTGAATAAGGAAACTGCATCATCAAAGACACACATGAGGGCAGCAAAGCCTAGCTTAGCTTAGTTCAAAGACAGATGAAATAGAGACAGCTTGCCTGGCTCCATCTAGTGACCAAAATCCACCTACCAACTAAAACTAAAACTCACCTTTCATTTCTACAAGACCACAATTTGTCACTTTCTAACACTCTAATTAATGTGCAACCAAAACTATTGGCTGTTTTTTTCTCCAAAATATTAAATATGCATTACTTACCATCACCCACATTATCGCTGACCTCAGCCAGCAAACAACTTTACATAAACCCAACTTAAACTGCCTTTCTGCTTTATAGTAGGTGTTTTCCCCCATGTTCCATCTTTCTGTCATTATACTCCCTAATCTCTATATAAAATACTTTGACTGTGCAGACATGCTCTTTCACAGCATTTCTACATATGTATGAGGAATGAGTCAAAGGGTATTAAATGACAAAGTCAGAGCTTCAGAAAAATGCTTCTGTTTTACCTGAGCCTGTAGTCTGTGTTCAAACTCTTTGCTTTCAGTCAGACGTTTAAGCACATCATCTACCCTATATCAAAAAAATAAACATTCTTCAGAATGATGGAGTCACAATTTCATTTTGCTGCTACAGTGGAGCAGGATGCTTTGCTCACTTTGCAGACATCCGTTTGAGCCTTTCTGAGTCGCTGCTTTTCTGGATCTTGTTTCGAGCAGTCAGGAAGTCTTCCTTCTGAATCGTTTCCCATGTTGATAATCTGTTCGCTGCCTTTGCTTCCAAGTCTAACACTAATAGAAAAGACAAAGGTTTGAATTGATTACCTTTCAACTCACTGTTTGTTTACATCGGTGCTAAGCTGAGGTCAGTTTGCAAATAAACAAAGAGCCCATTCTCATTTAGACAGTGCAATTTTTAGTGAGTAACTTAGTGACAACATGGCAGCAACTGATCAAAAAACCCCATAAAAACTAATTTGTGAACAACAACAACTGGAAGATATTTAACAAAGTATCCAATTCCAATCAACTGTGGCTTTCTCACCTGTTACACTTATTATTTCAATATAATAAAGCAATAACTTTATTAAATTAATACATTTATTGTATTATTGTGAACTAAGACTCCTGATCCAATACTGACCAAAGTGGTGAATCTTTACAGAGGGCACTTTGTGGATGACCCTCTTGATAAAGACTTTGATGTGTGAGAGGATAATGAAAGGCGGAGCCAAAGAAGGACGGGAGTGATACTCGACAATCAGGTTGTAACGCTGGAACTTCCAGTAGGTGTCACTGTCTTCCTGCACTTCAGAGAAAGTGTAGCTGTGTGGATACAAGCAGATCAGAGCCACTGAGTCAAGTCAAACCATTCACAGTTTGTGAATGCAGTCAGAGAAACATAATGACAGACTGGTTCTTTACCTAAACATGGCAATGACTAGGTTGATGAGCAGGATGTTGGTGACCAAGAGATATACGACTAGCAGAATCACTACCAGCCAGTTACTATCCTGATTTCTACACGGCTCTTCACCGCTCTCAATCAAAGTCACATTGTCTGTGCAGTTTAGTTCCCGTCCCACTGTCACAAAATAGAGATAAAAGGAGAAAGGTTCAAATAAGGGTTACAATAATAAAAAAATAACTAAATTTCTAATTGCTGTGATGAATTTTAAAAACCTGCAGTAGAAAAAAGCAGCATTTTAAAACTGATTTCAGTGTAATAACAATTTTCTTATTTTCATGCAAATTGCACAAACACATGTACCATCCATCTCTTCCTCGATGGAAGAGCCGTATCCAAAGATGTGCAAGTATGGCATGTAGAAAACTCTCAGAAAAATGCGATTTGGATTTGGATCATAGTTGTAGATCAGAGCCTGATTGGCAACTCCGTACGCCAAAACCCACACGCCCAGGAAGAAGAGGAAGAAGAAGACATCCTTCATCTAAACAAGAGGAGGAAATTGTCATGTTGTTGCTCACATTGTATTATTAAACACATATTCCTGGTATAATTCCAACTGATGGTAACTTTCTCACCATATTTCCTACAATGATGAGTTTTGGTCCCAGCTGCTTGTGAATGGCAAAAATGTGAATGAGGCGAAGTGTGAAGACCATGTAGTCCAAACACAGGACATCCCGTCCAAATTCATGTGACCGGTGAAACATCCTGAAACACAAGCACAGCATCACTGAATCAGTGAGGCAGCAGCACCACCTGGTGGCAAACCTGTAAATTAACCAGTGACATTTGGTTGTTAACTGAGGAAATGTTTTAAATTTAAGTGACTAAAAACTAAGTATTAAAAAAATTATTTGAGACACACTTAAGAAGCCAAACAAGTACCAAAAAAACAAATACTGTGATTTCATAAATGTTACAATCATGCAATGACAAACTAAACTGTATGTAGTGTTGTGAAAAGTTTTTGATGGGCAATCTAAGATTAAGATATCATTTTTATATCTTGTCCATACCTGCAAATCAGTCCGACAATAAACAGGCTGATGGCAGTGAGATCACATTTATTCCACACATCCTGAATGTACAGTCTGAAACTTTGACTCCAGGTCGTCCCCAAAAAAAGCGTCTTGAAGAAGATGAAAAAAAAATAAACTTAACAGATCGTCAGAAAACAAAAACTACAATAATAAAAACTATCAACATACTTTAGTATGATAATAGTTTTTATATACCTGCCTATACATGCACCTTGAAGCGTATTAATTTTGTTTATTTATTTTTGTGTCCATCTTCAATTTAATGCTTGTGAGACGACAGCATGTTAACCACTGTGTTCCAATGACACACATATTGTCTCTTTCTACTATGTGCAATTAAAAAAAGTATTTAATTAGGTGCATATTATGCATTCATTGTTCACTTGACATTTATACAGTTAAACATATTTGCGAACTAAAGTTCTAAGTAATGATGTCTCTCTTCACTCACCTGTCGGATCTCCTCACAAACGAGGGTGAATACCCAGAAGTACAACACACACTCAGTGGCAGCTGGACCTGAGGGGGGTGGGGGCTTGAAATCCACCAACAGCACGTAGGCGAAAAGCAAGAGAAACAGGAAGTACATCAGGACGTTGCCCAGAAATGAGGTGACTGGTGCAAACCAGAACTGACGCCAGCGTGACACTGTGAACGGACTTTGTGGCAGTCGTTGGGGTACGCCTGTATCAAAGATTATAAACATAGATAAGCAGGTGACTAAAAATGACAGCATATGGAGCAAGAATCAGATGACTCTTTGAACAGGACTCACCTTTAATGGCATCACTCTTTTAACGTCTGAGTCAACTTCACTGGTGTAAGAAAACATTTTAAAGTAAATTAGTAGACTAATGCAAATAAATAACAAACTGATGTTTTACAGATTAATACTGTAGAGTGCAGGTAGAAATATTACTGCTGCTTGATGTCAGAGAAAGAGAAGACAGTGTTCCCATAGTGACTGTCAGTGTCCTGATCCAGCTCATCCGCAAAAAGCATCCTCTCTTCCTCTTGTTGATCGTATTGATTCCTGCGGGGGAAAAAGTGGCAAATGTTTAAAAAAATATTAAAAAATAATTTACAAACCTTAAATTAAAAATTTTACCTGAAAGAGATGAGGTTGGTGTAGCAGAGGATGGGGCAGAAGAACACGAGCAGAAGCTTCCAGATCTCTGTGTTCCTCTTCATATCACCCCACCAGATCTGGGACAACAGAGACTGGAAGAGCACAGAAAAGCAGTCCTTATCCATCAACAGCAGCTCACCGGCTCAACATGAAGTGTTGTGTTATTTTACAAATATCATGCTATATTTCCTTTGTAAAATTCATCTGATTCATCTTTGAAATCATGACAACAACATGAATTAAAGATAAGACACACCTGTACACCATCATTACTGAAGAAACGCCGAGCATCAGAGCTCACACCCATCTGAAGACAGGTGCTGTGACCCCAGACAGGAGACTTTCTAATCAGCAGGCTGAAAGAGCGGTTTTCATCACTGCGATAGCAAGAGCTGAAAATATCTGACGTAAAGTAGACACAAGACACATGACAAAGAGTTAGATAGGTTTGTTATTATTGTGTTACATAAGCTTTTAAAAGGAAAAATAAAAGGGCTCTTTGTGAAATGGTTTTGAAATATCTAATTATTATAACATCAACAGTAGCAGACAGTTGTAGTTATTGTCTCACCATGAGCCAGGTTCTCAAACTTCTGGGCCAGTTCTTTCATGGAGAGTTTGGTTTCAGTCTCATCCTCCCGTTTGGACAGTTCTCTGAGTATCTTACAGCCACCAAGAGCACTCAGGACTGCCTCACCTGCCTGGAAAGCAAGCAATTATATATTTTCTGATTGTTTTTCTTAGAGGAACACTTTGAAAACTCATTAGATTTCAATAGGGAAAAACTCATATCTGTATTGATTTGGACTGAGTAATGTGTTAGGAATGAAAGGACGCTAAAATGTTTGATGGAAATTAAAATTATTAACTGAATTTAAAGAAAATGTGTCCAGGGAGACAGGATCCTAGGTTAGCATGGGGACCACTCAGTGGTATCAATTCCTTCATCCTCCAGTAACTGCCAGTTTATAATCACCATATTATCCACTGCACCAGCATAACATCTGATAATGAGTCCAAGGATATCATCCCAATACCTAAAGGTAGTAGGGCTGTCACGATTAGTCAACTAGTCATGATTACGGCGACTATCAAAATCGTTGACGACGTATTAAATAGTCGACGCGTCGTTTGAAGCTTTGCAAGATCCTGAAAGACGCAGGAATAAGTAGGATTCAAGAGTGTAAGCTGCCGTTACACCCCAAAGAAGAAGAAGAAGCAGTCCCCAAGATCGTAGCTGTGTCCAAATTCAGGGTCCGCATCCTTCGGAGGCCGCATTTGTAGGCCGATTACGTTACAGCATCGCGATGAAGGCTGTCCAAATTCAAAGATGCTTCCAAATGCGGCCGAAAAATGCGTCCTTCATTTCCCCAGATTTGAAAGTGTCACTACCCGATCTGTAGCGGAAGGGAATCAGGTCAGGTGTATCCTTCATGGCCCAGCATATCCCAGAATTCATAGCGCGGCCCAGTTTCCAATAATGGCGGCAGCTACTTAGTTTAAATATTACCCTAATTATTCTTTCTGGGTCACAAAATAAACTTTTAAGATATTTTCAGTTTATTAAGACATCACATATTTGCAAAAGCGCTCTGACGTTTTCGGAGACGTCTGTTACCCACCAGCTTGATAGCTAGCCGGGGTTCAAGGCTCACTAGAGCCGGTGAGAACAGCGAACTCTTGGCAAATCATTTTCAAACCCCCGCGTCTTTGCTACTCAGGTTAAACATGATATATAAGTCACTTAGATAACTTAAAAATGTTATTGTTTGGCTTTTTTCAGTGTTTTATTTGTTCCTGAGTAAATCGGTTTGGCTGAGATTAAAGTTATAGTTTTCACACAGCTGAATAAACATCAAACAGAAACTGATTAAACAGAAGTATGAGATGGTAGAAAATTTACTCCATTGTCCTGTTATATTTTAGGGAGCAAAGAGCAGACGGCTGAGTTTATTAAACGCCACCAAGAAACAATCTACAAATTTCATTAAAATTTAATAAACTATCATCTTGTCTTTATGTTTAGTTAGCACATACCTTAAACACTTCAAAGCTGTAAGCTAATGATAGTTATATAAGAGCAGATGCTGCTGGTGCAATAAGCTGTACGTTTTACTCCAATGAATGATGATCTGATTAGTCGACTAATCGCAAAAATAATCGGTGACTAGTCGACTATCAAAATAATCGTTTGTGGCAGCCCTAAAAGGTAGTAAGTGCAGTAAGTGTGAATATATCAATTATCGACGATGGTTCAGATCGTTTTTACAAGGGCGATTTATTTATTTACTTGCCCATGAGTAAGTTTGCTAATAATGATGGAGCTAATGGAAGCAGTCAACAGAAAAAAAATAATAATAGCGCTGTTTTAACAGCTCCCTCTTTCATCTGCGAGCAAATGCACCCTCCTCAGAGCGCGCCCAATGCAGCGATTCATTTACTCAAACACATAACGAAAGAAAGGCAGTAGCCTATGTTCAGAAAAAGAAAAAAAAAACATATGCAAGTTAGTTGTATTTGAGTCCTTTGCTCACACTATGTCTGCACAAGCGGCACATCGCTTTGGTTACATCATTAGGTTTACTTCTTTCTTCCGGTGTCAAGCCAAAGAAATCCCAAATTGGCGACTTGATATTTTTTTTAGCAATTAGTTCGCCCATGTTTGGACTTTTTCTGTGTTGTAAGCACGCAAATCAGTCCATGCATGATTACATTGCTCCGCCCATCAAAAAGTCTGTGCATGCGCGAATATAATTCACACTGTCGATTATTTGATTGACAATTGTAGGTTGGAAATTTTTTACATAACACCCAACCCTACTGCCTAGCCTGTAGAGGTTTGTGCATCCCTCCATAAATATGACTCCTTAGACCACCTGCTCTCATCTGTGAAAAGCAGGGCACCAGTGGTATTCTATGGCAAAAGCCATGTTGCCAACCAAGAGTGCAGGGGCCACTGGAGTATGTTGGAGCCACCCTCATGAAGTTTGTGGTCAGCTGGAGGTCATTTAGGGCCCCAAAACAGCCTCAAAGCATAATGTTTCCTCCCCTCTGCTCAACTGTGGTTATTAGTGGTGCAAAGGATCAAAAATCTCACGGTTCTGATCGGATCACGGTTTTAAGTCACGGATCGGATCAATTTTTGGATCAGCAAAAATAGAAAAAAAAGACAAAAATTTGACTCGCCATTTACTTACTCAAGTATTTTTTCTATTAAAAAACATTCAACTGAAGACTCATTCCACGCACTTATATAAAAACAAATTAAGGTGCAATATGGACATTATGGACCATGCTGGGCATCCTCTGCATCCTCTGCACACGGCCATAAACAACCAGAGGAGTCTGTTCAGTGACAGGTTGCTTCTCCCAAAGTCAAGGACCAGCAGACTTAAAAAGTCCTTTGTCCCACACGCCATTAAACTGTTTAACTCCTCGCTGGAGGGGAGAGGGAGGGGAAACGGGGACAAAGGAGGGGGGAACAAGTAAGCTGTAGTGCCTTTTCACTGTGCAATAGTTTTTGTTAATATCCAACGGTGTAATAGACTCACAATACTTGAAATGTGCCGTTCCCTTGTATTCTTATTCCTATTTATTCTATTTATCCTTTTGTATACTCTGTATTTATATATGTGTATATATGGTATATTTCTGCTCACATTCTGCAACTTCTGTCGGTGCTGTGCTACTGGAAACTGAATTTCCCGGAGGAACCCACCCGAGGGATAAATAAAGGTTCATCTAATCTAATGTCTATACAGCCACCCCTGTAATTCTACAGGGTGGCTGTAGCTCAGGTGGCAGAGCAGGTCAGCCACTAATCAGAAGGTCGGTGGTTCGATCCCAGGCTGCCTCCTGGCTGCATGCCAAATATCCTTGGGCAAGATACTAACCCCGTGTTTGCCTACTGGTGGTGGTCAGAGGGCCCGGTGGCGCCAGTGTCCGGCAGCCTCGCCTCTGTCAGTGCGCCCCAGGGCAGCTGTGGCTACAATGTAGCTTGCCATCGCCAGTGTGTGAATGACTGAATGTAGTGTGAAGCGCTTTGGGGTCCTTAGGGACTAGAAAAGCGCTATACAAATGCAGGCCATTTACCATTTACCAATGTAATCTATAGGGCAGTACAGGGCTTTGTATCTACCACTCCGCTGTGATATAACGAGCGGTCACGGTCACGTGGCTTTCCGTTGCCCTGGAGGTCCACCCATTTGTAGTTAGGCAACAGAAGATGCCTGGGACAGTTCAGCCATAACTTTAAACTTTTCCTGCTCATACATGCTTGGAACGATCTTGTCACACTGAAGTGGACGCGCAACGAGATATCATAGCGTGGCTCAAGCACGTTCATCACAGTTTAAACCCCTTGTTTTGCACAACAGAATACGGCCTCCCATCTGCAGCTAAACACCCCAATAGCTTTTGTAATAGCTTTAGCCCGGTCGGATTGGGCAGCAAAGGGCTGCTTAAATGCTAGCGCTAGCGCTGGCCATAACTACTGATTGACAGACCCACCACGCCACCATACACATACTTTTTTTTTCTTTTTCAAATCTTCGGATCACGTGCGTACCGAACCATGGAGTGGGATCGGTTCGGATTTCGGATCAACCGTGATCCGTTGCACCACTAGTAGTTATGGTGTTCTTTGGGCAATGAACAGCATTTTTCTTCCTCGAAACAAAGCTCAAATCAGATGGCTTTTGATTTTATCTGACCGCAGCACTTTCTTCCAAGCCTTCTTTGAATCATTTAGATGTTCCCTTTTAAATTAATATAGGTCTATACAGCACCTTATTGAGCTGGAACCTTCCAGGTGCTGCAAGAGTTCAATCCATAATAGCCTAGCATCTTTTCAATAGTGTTATTGGTGATTTTAATCCCAACTGGCTTCACATTATTAACAAGCTCCTCCTGTGTAGTTTTAGGCTTTTCATGATCATCTTCAACCCATAGAGTAGATTTTGCATGGAGCGATACCAAGGACAGATTACAGTCATTTTGTTTCTTTCTTTTAAAAAAAAAATAATAATGGCACCAACAGCTGTTACTATCCAGTCTTTAAGTCTGACATCATTAGCCGTGCCTGGTCCCAAACTCTGTTGCAGGTCCCTAAGTCCAACGATCACTGCGGCATCAATGAGAGTTAAAAACTGTCTAAATCCTTTCATCTTTAATAGGATGATCAGTGTTGCTGCTTTACCAGGTAACAATTAAGTTAGAGTTAGAAGTTAGCTCGCTAGTTTCCATCTAAATATAATATACCAGGTTCTGACTGAGGGATTTCTGAAACAAATTAAGACGTACAGCTCTGCTATCACTTCCAACATAAATGAAGACAGGAAAGTAAACAGCAGTGACATTTGTAGGGTTACTGAAGTTTGGCTAGCTATATATAATGATGTGCTACGTGAACGCTAGCGACACAGCTATGTTAGTATAATATAAACAGTGAAGTTGGAGAATGAACGCTAACTTTGTTCCACTCAATAAAAGTTAACGTTAGGGTTCCCGAAGGTTCGGGACAAACTTTATTTTATTACTGCTAATAATTTTAAAGCTCAGTTTTTAAAACCTTAAGATGTAATTACAGCCCAGCCCATGCAGCAGTATATTGATAACTAACTTGTGGATGGATTAGCTCAGTTGTTCTCCTGACTGAAGTTTGGTCTTACAGCATCCTGCCATGCGATTGCATTTGTCCTAAGCCATCGGAACCCTCACGTTAACTTTTATCGAGTGGAAAAAAGTTAGCGTTCTTCCTCCAGCTTCGCTGGGTTTATGTTATGCTAACATAGCTGTGTCTAAGTCAGAACATGGTACAGTATATCATGTTTAGGTGGAAACTAGCGAGCTAACCTCCTGCTAATTGCTAACTCCGTTAAATTGAATAATTTCTGCTTTCATGGATGTCTGAATGTTAAACTTAACTGTTAAAGCAGCAACACTGATCATTCTATTAAACATGAAAGAATTTAGACAGTTTTTAACTCTCAGTGATGCTGCAGTGTTCGTTTGACTTTGGGACCTGAAGCGGAGTTTGAACCCAGATTATTCCACGAGGCTCCAGACTACGGTAGCCATAATGTTCCGACAATCCATTAAGCGGTGCAGCTTCGTAGCACCAAAGTCACACTAAAACATTTTTGACAGATTTTTGAGCACCGTGTGCCACATAAAATTGGTTCAAGGTCAGTAAGAACAACCAGAATTCATACATAAGGCGCAGTGGATTACAGGGCACACTATCGATTTTTGAGAAAATTAAGGGATTGTAAGTGCACCTTTTAGCCCAAAAATGCGGCACCCTAAAAAGTAAAGAGTGTTAATTTTTTTGGGAAGTGAGCAAATTTACAACTTCAGCAGGGGGCTCAAAAATTATCTCCCCCCCCCAAGTAAAATACTTCTTGAAGTTTGTCTCAGAGCCTATACCATCTCCCAGAAGAAAAGGGCCATCTCACTGCGGTTCTGCAGTACAGCCCAGAGGAAGAGTGAAGCCCAGGGATGGGGGCAACGCTGCTGGTGATATTTGGAACCTCCATGCAGAACCTTAGTGGCACGCTGGGATGAATAAAAAAAAGAATAAAAATACCTATTATCAGGTCAAATGTAAAAGAGAGATACTGTCACTACAAGTACACTGCCTGCTTATTCTAAAAAGTTCAGAATACCTTCATGGCTGTCCTTTTGAATGAAGATGACTGTAAGCCTAAAGCTTTATAGTAGAAAGGCTGGCAGGCATCACCCATTAAGTGTTTCAGGACCCCTGACACCTGAGGAAACAGGTGGATGGAACAGTAAGCACAAGGATATGTTTTTGGAATTGTTTCACATTCTTTCTGGATCTGCTTGAGCATAACCTCGTATTAGATTAGAAAACTCACCTCAAACAGGGTAAACTCCCTCCTTGGTCTGCTCTGATTGTTATCTGCTGCCACTTTTGAGGATGAATTCTGTTGTTCTGATGGTGAGTGACGCTCCGCCATTGCCAGCCGCTCTGCTAGGCAGCGCTGTAGCAGCTGATATAGTAAGCTCCCATCTGGCACAGAGCGATAGAGGCTTTCCAGCTTTCCATAGGTTAAGTAGTCCACAATGTTCAAACCATTTTCAGTGAAAAGCCGAACAAACTGGGGCTTGTCATTGATCAGCGCATCTGTCATTGAGTCTTCCAAATCTTCGTACTGTTTAATTGGAGGAAGGAGATCATGTTTTAAAGCAGGTCAATATTTATAATGCCAAATAATCACATTTAAACTGACTTATCTGTCAAACTTGATATTACACATCTGTTCCCCTCCTCACCTTCCACTGGATGTCGCCATTGAAGAGTTCACTCTTGGCAATGTCAACCCTATTCCACGTTACTGCTAACTTCAGCTCATCACTATAAGGGTTTGCCTCAACTAATGCGCGCTGCTTACTTGCTAAAAAAGACAAATACAAAATAATTTAATTAAGGATAAAAAGGGGTTGCAGCTGTTATGATGTATAATTATGGTCTACTTATACATACCTCCCACAAGTGTTTTAAGCAGGACAGTGTCAAAGTCATTTGGACTCTCATGCTCTCCGTGGTACACCGTAATCAAACCTCTATTCTGGTAAATTCTAAAAGCCTGGAAAAGGAAACAGGAATGTTGGAAAACAGTTGCAAGATGACAGGGAAAAGATGTAGGAGATGAAGTACATTCCACAGATGTTATAGCACCTGCTTGAAAGCATCTCTCATGTCAGTCAGTTTTATGCACTCTCTGTAACTTTTCTGGCTAATGATTTCAAAGCAGAGCAGAGCAAAACAAACAAACAAACAAAAAAATCTAACCATAAATAACTAACACACATGCCAAAATGGGTTACCTCCAGAGTTCAGCATCTGGAGAGTGAAACGGTAGAGATTTCTTCATGTGTGATAATGCTGCCTGCCCATTGCAACTTTTGACCAGACTTTAGGACTAGGATTTATTATACTTGCTATGCTATTTTGGCAAGCTGTGAGCTTGTGGAGATTTTGCTTCTTCAGTTGGCAAACAGTTCTGGATTTTTTAAATACAGGTTTTGATATTTATTCTATTTTTGTATTCCTCCCTGGTCATACTGGGGTATGATTTTATTGTTTTTATTCATGTTTGATTGAAAGCAAACAATTTTTAGAACTTTTATAAAAACACACTTTTCTTGATGCTCTAAACCCATTCAGAAGAGTCTTTTTGCTCCACTTTGACCACAGTTCCTTTATTTTCACCTATAATGTCACTTTTTTGATTCACATTCAACAATAATAGATTTATCTATTTTCAGCACAACTATACTTACACTATTGCAATTTAGATTAAGGTTATACAATTATTGACATCATTATATAGGAGCTGCTTGGTAAGTGGCTCAGTTCTGTTATTACCTCTGGTAGTGGATCAGGAAACAGAGCTGCAAAATGCAAAACTGCCTGTTTCTACTTAATAACATATAAATAACCTATTAAAACTAACTTCCAGACATGTGGTCATTACCTGGCAATATATCTGGTAGTTTTTGGATAATAAGCAGAAAACAGAGCTGTAAAATGCAAAGCTGTCTGTTTTTATTTAATAACACATAAACACAAGTTTTTCCAGCACATTACCAAAAACATGTTTCACTTCGCATCACCTCAGTAAGACCATGTGAAAATAAAAAGAAATCACCCTAGGTTGACTTAAACACCTTTATTCCTCCTTTGTTAAAACAGGTTGACTAATATGAATGCAGTGTATAAACTCAAAACACACATTTCACTTAAAAAATTAAGATGTGCAAATGTAAACAAATCAACTTGTTAGAGATATTCACCTACTGTTGAAAAAAACAAAACAAGAACACCACAAAAATAATACACAGCAAGCCAAATTATTAACTCTTCTTATCAGATATTGATGCTTCTTTCTTATGTGAAACATTTATATACAAAAACACATACATGTGTCTCATGTCTCAGTGGCTGATAGTCATCTTCAGGCCTCAGCGTGAGCTTGAAGCCATTTACAATGTTTATGGTGTTTATTGTGTAGGTGCTCACAATAAACAGATTTTGAATGAAAGCCGGGGAACTTCGGTAGCACAAAAAATGTGTCTATTCTTTGTGCCCAAATGGATAATATTACCATTATTTCCCCCTAGGTGTTGCCAAAGGCACCGAGTTAATACCTGAAAAAGCTGCACCAATACACAGAGATATAAACACCATAAATCACCATGTCATAACTAACTGTATAATAGCGCTGCCGTATTGCATCACACTCATTGCATTTCAATCATTTCTCCAGCGAGTTTGATAGCTAGCAAAATAATAATCATAATTTTAAAAATTAGCATGTGTAACGTACTGGAAAATTATTCACTAGGACTCACCTATCATGCGACTGGAGAGCGCAAACTCCATTGTCGTTTTCCATCAAACATCATTACTAAAACGACAACCTCCAGGCATTGTTAATTTACTCATTTTATTTCTCTATGTGATAAGAAAACTATTCAATCAGATAGTTATTTGTGGTGAATGAAATACAGTTACACTTTCAAGCAATTTTAAGCACCACATCTGAAATTCAAGCACTTTCAAACCCTGAAAAGACAATATTAAAATTCAAGCATTGTAAAGATTTCAAGCACCCGAATGAACCCTGTAATAGCCAGTTAATAACCTTTTAAAACAACCTTAAGAATAGTAATGACTACCAGGAAATACCTGTGGCAGTTTCTATGTAATAAGCGGCATTTTAATACCATGGTCATATGAATACATTAGATTTGCAGAAGAGTTTAGAAGACCCTCTTTCACGGCACAGTTATTTATTATGTTCGTTATGCTTTTCATGTAAATTTCAGGACTATTACTCAACTGTAACCACAGTTGCTACCATGATATTACTTGGATATTAAGTGGTTGTTACTTAATATGTAATAGTTATTAACGAGGTGTAATAAAAGGGGAGACAGAAAGTGTTTCCTCCAGCTCATCTGCAGAGTAAATGCAGTGCATCTGTTCTCAGCACTCACCTGCTCAACTAATTTGTCAGTCTCTGTTTCTGAAGGAAAATGCTTCTTAAACCGTTCTGCCACTCTGTCTTTAAGATCCACCTTGGGAGCTTTAAGAGCTTCACTGTTGCCTTCACCAGAGGACGGCACAGCTGGAGCTGAAGACAGGTTCTCCAAGACATCACTCAGGAAATCAGCCAAGCCTCCTGAGCCAGCCAGAACCAGCCAGGGGATGAAGTTTTTCAGAGAGAGATCCATTCTCTGACAGGCGTTACAAAAACCACGAACGAAATATTTACACAATTTGAATATCAAGTCGCAACATGTTTTGTGATTATCAGTCAACATATAAGCAGAGACTGTACCTTTAGCATGTCTGCTTCCCCTGATATCAGCATACAAACAGGACAGGGATGTCAATGCTGCCACTTCCTTTAAAAGATACAAATTTAACACGTTCCAATCTTAAAATGTTTTTACTAACTTAATGAGTGGCACAGCAACTAACAAAGATACAGATGGCGCACCCTGTGATTTTTTTTTTTACTTGATTAAACATTGGCAACACAGTGGTTAGCAATGTTGCGTTAAAGTAAGAAGGTCCTGTGTCTGAATCCACCATCTGACTGGGACCTTCTTATGTGGCATTTGTATGTTTGCATGGGTTCTCTCTAGGTGCTCCAGTTTCCTTTCACAGTCCACAGACATGCAGTTAGTGGGGTTAGGACTAACTGGTGATTCGAAATTGCCCAAAAGTGTGAATGTGAGTCCAAATTGTTCTCTTTGTGCTAGCCCTGCCCTTGTGACAGACTGGTGACCTGTACAGGGTGTACCTGTTACGCCCTGTACAGTAACTAGGATAGGCTCATAAATGGTCAACCACTGTCAAAATAAGTATTATATAATTCTTAAAATAATATTTTATTTTATAGTGCCATCTCTCACCTAATATGCCTGTGCGCTGGTGGGAAATGTATTCCTCCAGTCTGGCTCTGAAACCCATCTCTCCTCCTCTGCGGCCCACACTCCCATCATCCACCAGCAGGAAGGCCTGGTAGTTGTTGTCCAGTGAGCAGGAGTCCTGTGATATGTTTTGGACATAGTACCTTGCAGGAAAGCTTCCCTGCAAAGGAAGGAAACCAGTTATTCCAGTGTTTCTTCCTGGCCTTGATCAGTTTCCACGGTGTCTTAAAGGCCTGAAACTTGCACATCCTTTTGGTGTGTTTTTATTGGAGATGCAAAGTTTGGTCCCAAGATTATCCAGATGAATCACAATTAGCATACATTTACCTGACCTTGAGCACTCAAAGATTAGGTCCACATAGTCTTATTAATTTGAAATTAGTGCCCATGAAATATAAGCATTATATGATTATGGACAGCTAATATATCTCTCT